TTTTTTTAAAATCCTTTGAACAGTACCATAACTGAAATTAGAGTCCTTGAGAATATCTGCTATTGAATTCTCACGATAAGCTTCAAAATATCCAATAACTGCAATTTCCGTGGCCTCGCTTATTATGAATTCTTTTTTTGCCCTTGTTTTAGCAAAAACATTTTCGTTGCCCCTAAATTTTCGATAAAGTCTCAGAAAATATCGTTCATACGGTTGAATGCGAGCGGGATATAATTCACTGTAGTATTCTCTTGCTCTCAAGGAGGATTTTCTGCACACTAAATAGCATTCTAACATATCACACTTTTCTTCATGGGAGAACATTTTTCTTTAAATTAATGACACAATAAAGCTTATAAACAAGTATTTACACTAATGTTTGACATTATTTGATTTTATCATTGTTTTCCAAAGCCTTCTAGTTGCGAGTATGTCCAGTTTAACAATTTGTCGCTTATCTTAATGCTGTCAAATCGCGAACGCCATGTTGTTTTCATAGCCGTCTTAATATTATAATACTGCAAATAATTAAAAATATTTATCGTTATTTTGACTTTATTTTTGACTTTAGCGGAAAAGTCATTATGAACTTTTTTGTTTAAAATTTGATGCTTTAACAGAAAAAAATATAATATACAGGGGTTTCCATTTAAAAAAATGTTATTTTATTGAAAAAAATCAAAATAACGACTCTCAATTGTTTTTTTTTATTTCTCATTTTTACCAGCGTTAAAAATGCTACTAATTTGCTAATTCAAACAACTTTGTATTTTCACTAATAACAAAGTTACTAATGGTGGACACTTAATTTGGATAACCCTGTATATTCATTTATGTTATAAAATGCATTTGACTGACTTTTTCTCAGATTGTCTAGTTTGTGCTGAACATACAGGGTTTGTCCGGAAAGTAATAGGACTCATTTTCCTCCGCCATGACTGTACTTCGGAGCGTGCGCACACCGACTGGATTCGGTAGAGGGCGTTCCTAGCTAACGAATGAGCGGCTGGTCAGTTGTCTCTGAGCACTTGGAGAGTCAGGACAGGCATTTTCGCGCGACGTGTATCTGTGAGTGGTGCAAGCCGAAAATGCAGCGTTCGTTAGAGCCGAGGCTGTGTGAAACTTGGTAAATCTGCGACAGAGACATTTGATATGATCAAGCAGGCTTACCCAGGTGTTGCAAAAGCAAGAAGTGGTGTGTTTCGGTGGCACCAGGCCCTTTTTGAGGGCCGGAAAGAGGTCGCTGATGAAGGCCGTGCTGGAAGGCCTTCGACTTCGACAAACACCGATAATGTGACTCGTGTGCGCAAAGTTTTGAACTCAGACCGCCGACTAAGTATTCGTTTAATTGCCCACATGTCAAATTTACCAAAATCTGTAGTTCATGACATTGTGACACAGCATTTGAACATGCGTAAGGTGTGCGCGAAGATGGTTCCAAAAGTGCTCACTGACGACCAAAAATTGCGGCGAGTGGAAGTGTGCCAAGAAAATTTGAACATGTGTGAAAGTGACCCCCAATTTTGGAATAACGTAATTACAGGTGACGAGTCGTGGATCTTTGGGTATGATCCCAAGACAAAGATGCAGTCTTCCGAGTGGCACACGACGGCGTGTCCTCGCCCAAAAAAGGGAAGAATGAGCAAATCCAAAGTGAAAACTATGCTCATTGTCTTTTTTGACATCAAACGCATCGTCCACCATGAATTTGTTCCTCCAGGACAAACCGTCAACGCCAAGTTTTACGTGGAAGTGATCAGGAGACTCAAACGAAGGCTCAGTCGGGTCCGACAAGACATCGCAGCCGACTGGAAGTTGCACCACGACAACGCCCCGGCTCACACCGCCTTTCTTGTGAACAGCTACCTGACCAAGGCCGGCATCCCAACGCTACCGCAGCCGCCCTATAGCCCAGATGTGCCGCCCCGCGGACTTTTTTTATGTTTGCTCGCCTGAAAAGGCCGATGAAGGCAAGCATTTTGAGACGACAGAGGGGATCCAAGCAGCATGCACCGCGGCTCTCAAGGTTATTCCGGGGAATGCCTTCCGTGACGCCTTCAATGCTTGGAAATCGCGCTGGAAGCGCTGCATCGACGCAGAAGGAGCCTATTTTGAAAGTTTTTAAAGAATTGTAACGATTGGCTCAATAATTTTTTTAAATCGACTCAGTCCTGTTACTTTTCGGACAAACCCTGTAATCCTTTATGAACTGATAACGGCGTTGCGTGGGAAGTGCAGAGTCAACCTCTAAAAAAAAACTAATCGCTGACAGATTGCTGCCGAGATATCACCACGAGTAGCTACCTTTCATCAAAACTTTATGGTAAAAAAGTGAAGTTCCGTACCGAGCCAGCTGTCAATAAGTCTACGAATAATTTATATTTCTTATCTTGCTGCTTAAGAGCTTAAAGCCACCTGGTAGAACTTTGTCAGGCTGCAAATTACAAGAGGTGTGATAAAATTATAAGAGAATACGACTACGGGAAGCAAATGGTATACAACTTTTATGAGATCTTACTATTCACACCTAATTTCTCATCAGATTAACGTATGTTCTAGACAAATTAATTTCAATTATTGCACAAATAAAAATGTTACAAATAAAAGGAACTATAATGCTTTTGCCAATGCATCCGAAAGCTTTTCTCATATTTTTCGATGACATGTTGGTCGAAAATATTCGATTGGAATGACGGTCTTTATGTTAATATTTGTTTTCTTTATATCTTGTAGGACTGATCTTCAAAACACGGTGTTCACGATAACTGCTCCTGAGGAGCGGTTATGTTCTAGTTTTTTTTCCTAATAGATAGTTGAAAAACGCTTTTTAGCGACACTTCGCCCTTTTATACTTTGTATAAATAAAGCCGGATTATTATTATTATTTTTATTATTATTATTATTTTTATTATTATTATTATTTTTATTATTATTATTATTATTATTATATAAGGGATCACTAGCATTCGGTTATTATAGAATTAGTTGTCTCTAAAGATGTCCGAAAGCAAAGTATATTGCTGGACCTGAGGGATATTAGGTTGAATTAAAACCTTTAGATATTTAGCCTCAAACCGCATATCTAAACTTCCTGGTCTGCTTGATGTTGCGCATGCATTATTTCGGTGTTGTGGCATAAGCGCTGGTGTGAGCAATCGAACTATCTGTAGTTGCCATGTAAACTACATCGACGACATAGAACGTTAGCTAAATTACAGCATCGGGATGTTGAAGACCATACTTATCTGCCACAATAATATTGCTCATCTTCAGCAACTAAAGGCAATTTTACTCATTTTATCTGTTTATATCTATTTTACAAGGATCTTAAACTTGCAGCCACTACACAAGGAAGTATAAAGCAGTGATATAAATATCAGTATAAGCAAATTACAACATTCAATAGCACAAAAAAAAACGTTAAGTATCTTGGCATTATCATTGTTGAACAACTGAGGTGGGATGAGCATACAAACTTTATCTGTAATAAGCTGCGCAAGGTTCTCTCGAAGTTCCGATACATCAGAAAGCTATTATCAACCCAAAAGATGAAAATCTTGTATCGCGCTTTGATGGAGAATCACATAAGGTATGGCTTAGTAGGGAGGAGCTTCGAAGAAACACATCCTTTCTGTTGGAATACTCCAAAAAAGGATCTTAAGATTGAAATATTCTAAAGAGCCAAGATCTTTACACAATGGAACAAACAACCTAAATATTTGAAAAATGTTCTGTTTAGAAGCTATCAGCAAATATCACAGTAATAAACAAGACTTTACTCTTTATTATCTCTTTGTAATTCTCTGATTTTGAATCATGCGTATTGATTGATTGATAAATAAATTAAACATGCACTTTGCACATTTGAAGCTTCTAGAAAAGTTTTCTTCACTTCTCCAGGTCCCACTTAAAAATTAATTGTTTGACAATCCTGTTTAATTACAGTATAATTGAAAAACTGCTTATAATGTTAAACTCTTCTTTGGGAACAAGCATTCCGAAAATGGAGAACAAGGCCATTAATTAAATTAAACAACATCGGTCATGCAAGTAGCCGGAGACAACATTTTTAATGGTAAAAAGGAGATTAAAGTCAGCTGAAACGGCATGCTTGAAAACGATAGCAAAATGGAGAAGGAAGCTTTGCAGTTGCACGTGACTGAATAATTCGGCGTGTCCAAGAACAAAAAAAAAGAGCCATGCACTTCTTTCATTCGTTCCTGGAAACGCTGATATCGAACATGACGTTGCGGATCCTAGCATAATTTTAAGGTTTTCCACTGATGAACATTTTCCTGTTAATCCTGTTAGTTCTATTTGTGAGACGTACGGCATATTTTTTCCTAGCGTGAGCTTCTTTCTAGTGCGGCTACAACCCCTGTTTCTTAATCCTCCATCGCTCGCACAGATAGAAAAAATCTAACATTTTTTAAATTTTTCTCATAAATTTGAAATTTCGCGGCTTAGCAGGCCCACCATCTAGGAATACTCCTTCAAACTAATCTACTATGTGAATCTGTGGTCGTGGGGAGGAGCTATTTTGTTCTAGTGCCGCAATCGCATAATGTTAGTACCAGTCTAGCACGCGAGTGATGGCGTTCGGCCGCGGGTTAGATAAACAAATTGTTAATAAGCTTATTCTCCGGGATTGTACGTAACAATTGACGAAATGTTGGAGGCATTTCTGGGGAGATGCCGATTTTGACAATACATAGCCAATAAGCCCGCCAAATACGGCATCTATGGATTAGTAGACGCCAGAACATTTTTTACATCAAATTTTGAAATTTGGGCGGGTAAACAACCAGAGGGATCTAAAAATTACGCAGCGAGCGCTGTATTGAGACTTATAGAGCCAACTAGTGGTAAAGGAAGAAATGTAACCACTGACAATTATTTCACCTCTGTGCCATTGGCTAATAGCTTATTAGTAAACCATCGACTAACTACAATAGGAACAATTCGTAAAAATAAGCCTCAAATTCCTCGAAAACTTCTAGATGTGAAAAATAGACTAGTAAAAAGCAGCATGTTTGCATATGGTGAAGACTCTGATGACAACCCCAATAAGTGCCTTCTTGTTTCATATGTTCCAAAGCGAAACAAAAACGTGCTGTTATTATCAACCCTGCATGATGATAGTAAGACCAACGATGACACTGGAGATGCTTTCAAGCCCGAAGTTATTACAGACTATAATTTTACGAAAGGAGGCGTAGATGTGGTCGACAAGATGAAATCTGAATATTCAACATCACGATTCAGCAATAGATGGCCATATACCGTATTCTGTGGGTTCCTGAATATATCAACCATCAACAGCCAAATAATCTATCGAGAGAATACAAACAATATTATTACCAGAAGACAATTTATATCGGAACTTAGTAAATTGCTTGTCATGCCTGTATAGACGTTCTCAGATTCCAAGTCTGCCTTATCTACTTAGTCAAAAGATTAAAAACATAACTGGAGAAAGACCAACCCCAAATAGAGACCAAGCCACTCAAGCCAAGGTGAGATGTGAATTCTGTCCATTGAGAAAAAACAGGTTCACTCAGAGAAATTTTTCAACCTATAGATCACCGATATGCAAGGAACATACAGCAATAACTTCATTGACCTGTCGTGAATGCTATGGACGTAACGAGAATGTTTAAAGTGCGTAAGTGTTTTGTAAAGCATTCATGTAAACGCTTTCAATATATACCCTGCATTTATTTTTTCAGGGTTTTCTTCAGCTCTAGAGGATTCCAGAATGAAACATCGGAAGAAGAAACCTTCAGTTCAGAAATTTTAGATCAGAATTTTCAGTGTTTCGTTAGTATTTTTGTTATAGTTTATAACAATAATTTTTCACTAATGTATAGCTGAATAGTATAAGTAATACTATACTTGAGAATATAAACATTTAATTTAAGTAAAAATAGCGAGCGATGGAGGGTTAACTAATAAGCCAAGACTACCCTCTTCCTCTATTTTACTATGAACATATCAGGTGGGCATTTGGATATAGTTCGTTTAGGTAGTAGCTTCTACCACTAAGATACAAGAACACAAGAGAACAGTTACCTAAAATCCAACTTTCTAAACAATCAATCGGTAGATGAACGAGTAACTTTGTTTTTTATAATGATAATGATTACAGTGTAATCTCCTATCTCTGTTCGAAGACATTGGAAACTTTAGGCGATAAGTTTGATAAACCAGAATTTAGAGCGTCTGTCAACAGATAATAGATTTGATTAGGAGATTGTCCTTCTTCTAGATAATAGAGAATAGATCAAAACCCAATTTCGAAGATAATCTCCCATGTAATCTCGGTCGAATAAAATCACATATTTAAGATTATTTCTGGTTAAACAACGTTTCGGTACCAACGGTGTCCTACTCCACGACAGATGACTCTTTTTTGATAATATATTTTGTTTTTCTGTCTCCAAGGAGACACTTCCTTTGGTTTTGTCTTTAATTTTCACGTTCCTATACAGTAGTAGAGCATGATGTTACAGGAACTGTCAGACTATTGTGGTAACACCCGGTAAATAAATGACATGAGGAAACAAAGGAAGTGTCACCTGCACCACAAATAAACAAAATCTGTTGTCAGAATTGCCAAGTGAACTTGAAAAAGGTCACCGTTGGGACCGTAAAGTCGAACAAGAAGATTGGAAAGACTATGCTTTAGCGCATATCGGAAATACTTCATTTCTTACTTTAAAATGAAAGATTAGGATGTAACTTGCACGTAAATATCATTTTTTCTTTAAGGAACCCTCTGCCTGATATTTTATAGAACTTCAAAGTTGCATTTTTGGTGGTAATACTCTAGAATGCAATACTGTTTTATACGCTTTTTTGGCTTTTTGCACAAAATGGTGCTCGAAATTATAGGAATATAACTTACACTGTATAGTAATAAGGAAAATAGATGAGAAACTGTAAAAAATCGTTGTTTTTTGCAATAAAGGTTCAAACTCAGCCGTGTTACTACACATTAGCCTATCAGCTACAATAACAGTTCAAAGTACATACGTAAATGATGGTATTTACTTGGTAAACTGCGTAGAGGTGTTGTGTTGTGATTTTTGAAAGTCTTCTTGAAATTCCTTAACCATTTTTTGCGTATTTTCAGTGAGATCAAAGTTTTTGCGTTCATAAGAAATATTTGAAAGTACAAACATTTCTCAATGGCGATTTTATGACGATCATTTCTTGACAGATAAGATAAATGATGTCCATTGTTGCCCGGTTGAACCTTTTTTAGGAGAAGTGCGTGATAAAAAATGAGGTTATTTGCAAACTAAAAGTCCTAATTTATTGTAAATATCTTGCCTTACCAGAAGTTGACCCAAAATTTGCCGAAAGCTAGATCAAATTTTGAACAGTTTGTACCTAAACAGTGGAAAATGTACCAGCGGCTCGCGTGACAGAAAATACAAAAGGCACCAGCAATCATTGCATATAAAAAAATCCAATTTCGTTTCGTCGGCTTGGACCACCTCGCTAGGTCCACCCAACATATCATCGTCCAACATTATAGTTAAATAAAAAATTAACGATCATTTCATCAAATCATCAAAAAACTTGCAATGTTCTTTGTTATGTTTTCATTATTTAGTGATTGGCAACAGCTAATTTTTCAGTTATTTCTCATATATACCACATTTAATTAGGTATATTTTGCGACATCAGCTTCACTTTAAATAATTCTTCAAATACATTCATACAAAAATACAAATACAAAATTTTAACTATAATATAGGAAAAACAATAACCGTAGTACTTTTGTGGAGGGCATGAAGCATTCTTTAAAAAAGTGTATTTAGCTAACGCTATCGTAGGGCACGTGGTGGGCTTAGGCCCGTATCGTCAGTCGTCCCTACAATTGTAGGGCGCGTTTATGGCCTCCTTGATTTTCACACTCCTTGCTCTCCTTCAAAAATTTCTAGATTACACTTGTTCCGTGTCAGCGTCAGCGCTCTCCTATTGTGAAGATATGTTTTCTTTTTAAATTGTAGGAAATTTCAGGCTGATAAAACATGATATAACACAAAAGCAAGCACAATTTGATGCAAATAGATGTTTGTGACATAACCTCAAAATAGAGTTCTGACACGGAGAAGTAGAAAACTATGACAATCAAGGAGGCCATAAAGGCGCCCTACAATTGTAGGGACGACTGGCGATACGGGCCTTAGTACAGTAAAATCTGCCGGCCAAACGTCCAAATCGCATTTTCATGACAATCCTGTGCCGATTGCACATTTTTGCGCTACTATATAAGTAAGAATTTAACAAACCAAATTAGGGTATATAACTGTCCACGATTTGGCAACATAGCAACTAGATGGAGACAGTAGGATAGTGATAGTGGTGGATGGTGCTGTAGTGATGGGAATATTTATCTGAAATAAAAGAAATTACTACTAAACAATGAACTATTTTCATCATTAAAATAATGCAAAATTGCATTATTCCGATGATGAACAGTATCACAGTAGTTTACATTGTATGTTATATTCATATAATTTTGAGCAATCTTTTGCGTAAACAAGAAAAAAAACAGCTTATAAAGCAGTATTCTATACCACAGTATTACCACACAAAATGCCACTTTGAAGTTCAATAAAATAGCAAGCAGAGAAAGAAAAAAAATGTTATTTTCGTGCAAGTTACATCCTGATCTTTCATTTTAAAATAAGATATGCAATATCTGCGATATGCGCTAAATTATAGTTCAGCCAGAAGATTTTTATTCGAAAGTGACCAGAGAAACATGAAGGTTATCAACATGAAAACCCCAGGATAAGTTTCAGATCCAATCAAATCTGAAGCATCGCAAGCTACATAAGTTGCTTCAACCACATGACTATGAATGTCATCACATGGGATTACGATCAGTAACTATTTCATAGGCAGTTATGAAGCGAAACCTAAACAAAGACTACATTTTTCATTTACGCCGCCTTGTACGAGGCCCGCCTAATGATAGAGTAAGCGCACCCTTCGATTTAATTTAGAGAGCTAATATTCCCTAGGCCTGCCTAGAACAAAGCTCTTCACGACCGTCATCTATTTAAGCGAAACGCTGCCTGCCGTTCCATCTCATACAGTCCATTCTTTTTTTGACGAGCCGTCAGCTCGTTTAATTTCCGACAGATATGTATGAGCATGGACCGATCTGGACCGAGAAAATCCATCAACTGATGCCATCCAGAGGCGTATCTCCAGTAATTAGACAATATTTCCAATATTTTCACTCTTGGCTTCAGAGTAGACTATCTTATGTACAGTTTAATAAGATCGCTTCTTGTTAGCTAGACTAGGTGGAAAATTGTTTTTAAATAAAGTAAGCATAAAATATCTTGTGGGGGAGGTTTGGTCTTTGATTTAGACTCTTAGCAATGTCAGTTTGTAAAAATTAATAGTTTGACTCTTATTAGGTCAAAGCAAGGTCAAATATTGCCTTTAAATCAACTAAGCCTAAAATATTATTCGGTATCTTGTAGGAAAGGTTTGAACTCTAATTCAGACACTTGGCGATGTCGAGTTTGCAGACATTGAAAATACTAATTTATAGACTCTCAGGATTGCGTCGCCTGTAACTGGAAATCGATCAATTTTAGAAAGAAGTTACTATCAACCTTCAATGTTCTTAAAGATACAAAGAAATCAATAAAAACTTTGCCGAACGAAAAACCTGAGTGCCTACTGAAATTTGAGGAAATATTTTGCCATTCAAGGGGCTGGTCGATCACTAGAAATAAACGTGATGACTTTTGAAAAGTACAGTGAACTGAAAATTTTATTTTGAAGCACTTTTTAATTTTCTGCTAACATCGCCGCCGCACTTATAGTAGTTCGGAGAATCTAACTGGGAGATATTTTTCAAAAATTTTTGATAAAACTGGAACATGATTTTCGAATTCTATTACAAATATACGATCTCATCTCCAAACAATGAGATATAATTTTCTAAAGGGAAGTCAATTCAAAATGCACTTATAAAACTAACTACCAAAATGTACAACTACGAGTACATAGATAGCAATATACCGTCCGCCTGCGTCCTTATAGACTTAGCCAAAGCCTTTGAAAGTATATAAAAAGCTCCTAACTACCATGGAAGTTTGGGATTTCGGTGAGCAACTTACCATTCTATGCGCACTTGTTTTGAAGATTGACATAATGTGTAAACAATAATAATGATATACTGATTAATGACATGGCAATGCGGAATTCCTCAAAGGATAGAATCAGAACTAGTTTTATTCAATCTATATATTAATGAAATTTTTAAATTTATCAATGATGTTAAAATTATTGGCTTTGCAAGCGACACGGCCATTATTTATTGGGAAATTACTTCCCTTCTCTAAGATCCAAAATTAAATTTGATTTCTTGAAGATTATATGTCACAAAAATTTTACTTTTCTCCTCCGTGCACCACTTTTACAGTTTTTCCGGGCCATTTTAGATAAGAAGGTCCTAAGTAATATTGCTCTCAAGTTGACCCTGAAAATGGACATCCCCAATGCTTGAAAACTTAGTTAAAAACTATTACTTTTGAGATTTGCGAAGTATTCAAATTCAAGTTTGAACATTCCCCTACAGAACTACAAACAGCATTTCCAGTCTGTCTTAAAGCAATCGTTAACCTTACTTGGTAGGCTAAATTTTGATTTTCGCAGACTGTACCTCAAAATCTTGCTCTGGCTCTGGCAAATAGTTAAAGGTCATTACCAAGACCTTTAAGATATAGGCAAACTAGAAACGATACTTTACATTGAGAATCACTCGGGACTTTACAAATAATAGATGTATCTCATAGTTTTTAAGCATGTAATGGAGAATTGCAGAAATGTCCACATCCGAACACTGAAAATTTCTTGCTTTCATTAGT